AACCACAGACCCTGACATAAAGAAACCAAAGAGAGTTTGAGCAATCTTGTTTTTAGAATACCAGCCAAAAATCTGGACACAAACGTCAAGCTGCTGAGCTGCCATAAACTTGCCCGCATAGAAACTTTTCAAACAATAAACATGTAAAGGTTAGAGACAGTTTAGATCGTCCAAGATGTACAACTAACAGTTTCTCTTTAAATCACCAACAAACACATGTACAACACAGCAGCCTTGATTTGTTGATCCACATACAGCAATCCTTGCTGAGCATTGTATTATTTGAATCTCTCTTGCAGTTTCCATGTCTAATTCATTATTCTGTCATTGTTCCAGTTTCTAGGCAACAATTTGGCTGATTTTTCTGTGATTTTTCTGTGATTTGTACTATAAAACTATTTATAGAACATGCAATCATCCAAAACATATTAATGCCAGTTGTGCATTTTATGATTTCATCCTGTTGGTTGCCAGCCAGGATTTTCTGGCCTTTGTGACCATTTTGATAAAAGGTTTTCCTGCTGGCAATTTTCAGACAAAGTTAGACAAACAAAAAAACCGCTGGAGCTGTCAGAAAAGTCAACTGCTCAACTATGTAGCCATTTGTCACTGCATTTCTAGCTCAGTTATTTTTCTGGTCCGGCTGATTGCTTCCCCCCTCCAGACACCTTGCTTGCCTTGCTGAAACAAGTGCCAGACCATCCTTTATCAAGTGTCTGTCTCACTAACCAGCCAGTCCGCTCATTTCCAACCTGATGAGTTATGAGTTGGGTTATCTTCACAGCACTGAACACCTACATAGGGGCTCTAATTCCCCCTCCAGTGTGTACATTAGTGTCCCGTGGTTAATAATACCAGTCCTATGTTGGTTAAGAAGACTTTTTAAATGGGTGTATACTTGTATAATGATAAATATCACAAGCTCCAGACTGTCCCAACATCCACACTGTGGTTGACAAGATGTAATCCATCTTAGCTGTAACAGTTGTATTTAGATAGTAGTGTGCCATGTTTGTTTCATTGATTTCCTTGCCAGCTTTTTCATTGACTGACATTTGTGCTAGTCATGTCATTGACTGACATTTGTGCTAGCCATGTCATTGACTGACATCTGTGCTGGCTGTTACATGTTTGTCAACTGACATCCTTGCTTCTTATTTCCATGATATCCGATATCCTTACTATGTGTTTTATTAATTGATATCCATGTAACATGCATGTGAGACAGACTCATACGTGGATGACAACACATTTTCTCATCACAACCCCCTCCCCCTCCCAAAGAAACCAACAAACAAAGTATAGTATCAGTGAATTGATGCCACAACTGATTCACTCAACTAAACTGACAAAAAAGAAAAATTTTAATCAGATAACCTAAACAAAAAAACTTTAGTTTTACATCTGCTATTTATGGCAAATACCACTTCCAGTATGACATTTGTGACAATTTTGTGAGACACTGTGGTCATGTATGACAACCTTTGATCTGGTGGCAAGTCACCCTTGTCAAGAAATGATCTGTATCACAGGTTCAACTGCCATATTTGCTATGTGTATTTCCAGTTTAACCTGGCAATCAGCTCCATACTTCATACTCATAGATGACATGTCAAATTATGTGAATGACATAAGCCCCAGATGTGCAGATGACATGCCCAGATGTGAAATATTTACAAATGATTATATAATAGATGACAACAATTGCAAAATAACACAAAGCTCAGGTGTTCCTACATAATGTAATTGTGACCTATACAGTGTAAGGGACAAATGTTGCCTACACAAATACAAGACATATGCTTTTCACACAATACACATAAACACTTTGAAAAAAAAATTTATAATACTTGAGAGAAAAGTTGAAGGCAAGAGGCAGACAATAAAACAAGGAGGAGGACAACATCAAGAGATGGACAAACAGCAGTGTGAGAGCATGTACAATCAAGACAAGAGAAAGAAAATGTTGGAGTTCTATTGCAGCCAACCTTTATTGTGGAGACGGCACCCGACTGATTGACACAACACACAAATGTTGATTGCAAGACACAAGAAGAAGACTTCATTGTTACCATAGACAAAGCTGTGTGGTACACAGGCAGAATTGGACCGCAGGTTCATTTCTTTCATCAAAGCTAACAGCCTCTTCATAGAAGTTTTCTGACAGAAGGATCAAAGAAGAAGACCAGAGATCATTTGTCACTGTCAAATTTGTTTCAGTGTCAATGTGGAAGACAACTGTGACACTGCAAATATTCACTCTTAGTTGTACAATAATAGCTGCCCCTTCTATTATACAACATTATTAGTTTTACTAGTAACAACAAGTAACATCATGTCCTGTAACCAGGGCCCTATTTGGGATGTACGATGCCCCTGTGCAGTCATTTATTTACAAACCCTCCCCCCCCCACTTTTTTTTCCCTCAGCTAATTGTCAGCATCGCTATTGCCATACTATTTGAATGCCAGAACACTAATCTAATGCAGGTTTCATAATGATAAAAGCACCACAGTTATAAACATTTTATTGCCAGTTATATTTTGCAGCCCTCAAAATGTTACCGCCCTGTGCAACTGCACAAGCCTAAGTATGGCCCTGCCTTTAACATGTATGTACGTTTTTATCTTCTTTATTTTGTAACTTGTAACACTCATATTATCATGTCCTGTTTCTTGCACAAGTTGCATCTTTTACGTAACTTCACATCATATTTTCATAATTATTACAAGCCTCACCTCTGATGTAATAATGACTGCCCTTGTAAAATTTTTATAACCAATATCTGGTAATATTTTATATGATCCATCTAAAAAAAAAGTAAGTAAAGGACCCTTTTAAATGCTTTTAGGCTATAGGGCATATAGGGCTAGACCTATATTTTATAGACCAATGGGCACAAGATGGGTAATGTGGTCAGCATTACGCCGGCCGCCTTTACTTCCCAGGGCTTCACCTGATACCCACTCAAGGCTGGGTCGGCCCGGGAGCCAAAGTCATTTTTGAAACAAATCCGGCTCCACCAGGGAGCGAACCCACGACCTTTGGATCCACAGCGAGCATCTAGCTGCTCTACTGCAGCGACTATGATCCATCTAATATAAAAATAATAAATCTTTGCCTAATTTATTGTAACATTTAGATATTTAATAACGGACCATTTTGACAATCACATGAGTATTACACTTTACAGAAAGCAATGACAAAATACTGAACGTAAAACCATACAAAAAGCAACAAATACAGGGGTTGATTTTTGGATATACAATCTCCACACAAACGATCAAATTTATTCTTGTATCACAATGTATCATCAAATCCCCACACAAACAATCAAATGTTTCCCCACAACACACAAACAACCAGCAGATTGTGTGAAGTATTACACACATTCAATCAGACAAATCACATCTCGAATCAAGTGCTGAATGCCAAAATATTCACTTAATCAAAATTCAACTAAAAATCATTGAACTGTCAATCACCCATGAATCGTTCATATGTCACTCACTAAACATTTCGTGGTCAACGTATGTGCTTGGTTAGCAGATTTTGTTAACTGCCTAAAACAGTTGAACAGCCATCTGGGGGTCGGGTAGACACTGCTACTGTTTCATTTGTGTTCTGTCCATGACTTTCCTGCCACTTCCTTGTCCACACGCCAGTGTGCCTTACCTGTCCACAAATGCTGTATAACAGACCTTATTGTCAGCCCCCTCCCTCTTGTGTTTCATATTTAATAATCAAAACACTAGTTATCATCTGCTTCTTCTTTCAGTAATAAAAATATCAAAAATGAGATACAAAGAGTCAGTGTTTCTGAATGAATGTCAGTAAAAAGAGTCAGTGTTCTGAATGAATGTCAGTAAAGAGTCAGTGTTTCTGAATCAACATCAGTAAAAAGAGTCAGTGTTTCTGAATCAACATCAGTAAAAAGAGTCAGAGCTTCTGAATGAATGTCAGTAAAAGAGTCAGTGCTTCTGAATGAATGTCAGTAAAAAGAGTCAGTGTTTCTGAATGAATGCCAGCAACTGTTGCCAGGTCACCTCATTATTCCTGACATAAATAGCCACTCAGTGTTTTACTATTTTAAAGCAGGTGTGCATTGTGGGAAAATCACCATACATCAGACGTTTGGAGAATGCCTCCCCCCCCCCCCCCAATCTATAATGAGCTTCTGTTTCTTCTCCAACTGATTATCTTCTACCATCTTGTTAGATTTATTTGTGTCCTCAAAATACACCATCTCAAATGTAGGAGTGTCCAACACATCCAACAGATTTGTCCTAGTGTACTTTTGTCCCTGGCACATGTCTAACTTGCAACAATAAGCACATATTGCATACTGATAAATGTGCATTTGTGTACACAATTTATTTTGTGTACACAATTATGTTTGTGCAGTTTTCACAGTTATATAAGGATATGGGATAGTACACAATTATGTGTTTACACATACACCCACAGTTCTGCTTGTACACGGTTATGGCTGTATATGAAAGAATCAAGAACTCAAGGGCTATTCAACTTGCGGCCTGTGAGCTGAATCTGGCCCGCAAAGCCCTAGCAAAGGGCTTGCTGAGCATTACCAATTGTATTGTATTAATGATCTTTCTATGCTGGGGCTCTGGCATCTGGCCCATAACGATCCCAGTTTTCTAAGTGCTGGCCCAGAGTTTAAAAAACTTAGTTGAATAGTCCAGTTCTAGGTACTGACAACTCACAGCATTCACACATTTGATTCTATCCAATCCAGTGTGTGAATCTACATGTGCAGGTTACTGAATGTGTGTGGCTGTGTATGCCAGTGAATGTGTCTGGATATGCATATGTATGCCAGTGAATGTGTTTGGATATGCATATGTATGCCAGTGAATGTGTGTACACCTGTGTTTGCAGTAACTAAAATGTCTAAACATCAGATGTAAAAGAAAATAAAGCAGGATTCACTTCTGCACGTGTTTCATCATAGTGTCTAATGGAACTGAGTCTAGAATAGTTCACCCTTCACTGGCATCATATGTCCTCCACACATCGACAGCCCTACAATACAGGGCATAGTCAAGTCGATCCACACACCTCGACACTCGAGCTTTCAGAACAACATCTCCAGTGACCTTGCCTGCACCGGCAGTCTGACCTTGGCATTTCTCCAACTCCCCAATCAGCATGACCTGGGAACAAGGTCTAAAATCTGCAGCCTCCACCAGTCGAGTGTCGACAGTCAACTTCTCGTCACTCAATGCAGCATCTGTTTTGTTTGGCTCTGACAGTACAGCTACAGATCTGGAGGCATCGTAATGGGTGACTCTGAAATTTGTCAGAGAAAATCCTGGCATGTCAATGAGGCCAATGAAATGGAATCCAAATAAACGTTGGGAATCATACAGGTTTGAGGTTTTGAACAACGTCTAAACATCATGGCACACGGGTGTAGCCAATAAGTGCTCTGTTCTTTGTTTTACTCAAGTCTGAGTCCCAAGAAGTTCAGCACAGTGCACAGGCTCTGTAGCACCAGCGAGGATCCTGAAATACTTTATATGATTTTTAACTTCAATTTTGCCCGGGAAGCACTATTAGGCTACTCTTTTCGATTTCCAACTGCCAAGGGATTTTTTTAAACGTGCGCAGCAATGCACACGGGCGTCCAATCTCACTACCCAGAGAACAGGGGGAATTACTAGATGTCCAAGTCCACATGAAAAAATCCCAGCCCTTACTGGGCATGTATTCTGGAACCTCTAGCACTCGAGGCGGTCACCATGCCTCGAGACCACGCAGCCCCTTGGCACTCAATCAAAGGAAGTGTGAGTAAAGTGTGAGAAGACCAACTTAGCACGATATTGTACACTTGAGTCTACTTGCTGATCTTTAAAAGAAGTTCTGAATTTCCCCTGTATTGAGTATAAATTGTGCAAACATACTGATAGACAGAGAGTATCACAGAACGAGTGCTAGACTTGTTTTAAGCATGAATTTGCCTGGTAGATTAAAGTGAGGGAACCAGTAGTCTCAGAATGATTACATGAACTTGGCAAGAACAGCATCACTTTAAATTCTTGGGTTAAAAAAATGAGGAGTGAGAAATTTCACAGGTTGTCAGTCAGCTTTTTCATGAGCTAAATGGGAAAATTGGAGAGCAAATTATTTTTCAGTAAAGACAATTTTATTCATTCTACTCTGAGGTGTTAGAGCGAGTGGGCAGTTTGGGTCCACTGTGTACCCACATCAGTGAGGTGGAGGTTGACTGTTGACTTCTAACAGCAGGATGGTTTACCACCATTCTGCCACGTACAGTTGTATGTTACACACTTGCAGATATCTGGGAAATAATGTTCCTACAGAATACAGGGGTTAACGTCTGGGGCCGTTTTGTGCTTTTCACAGTGTTACTTAGAGTCTGCTAGAACTCTCTGTCTTCTAAGCATTCACTGGCTGTGACAGAAAGTTCTGGTTGTTCCTTTACTTCTGAACTTTAGTCTTGTTTCCAGAACTTCAGTTTTGTGTGCACATCCAGTTTACATATCTGGCTTATTTGTGTGCAGACTGCTGGTTCCTCAGTCTCAGGCAGATGTTGTCTGGAGAAAACACCCCTAATGAGTCACCTTTTACAACATGCTTGTTGGAGAGAAGTCTATTTCTCTCCCCCCCCCCCCCATAATTTTCAGCCTGCTCAGCCTGTGCAGTGGGTCTCAGCCGCTGTTAAGTGCCATACATTGTTCTTGAATCCGGCCAGTTTATTATTAGTAAACCAGTGAGGGATTTTCATTGACAGACAGACATAGAGACATTAATCATACACATTCCATCACTTATTAGTGATATACATAATAAATGTGGCGGTTGCAACTGTACTGGGGTAAGTTGCTGTGTGTTCCAAGTGACTTATTCTCACTTCTAGTACTAAAACCTAATAGAGCCGGAACATTTAGATACTTGTTGCAAGTACCGGCAGATTTTTGTTTCTCTAGAATTTAAACAAAACCTGGTTATGATCCTGTTTAAACATCAGTGCCTGACACAGCTGGCTAGTGTGTGTCCATCCATGGTTCCAGCACTATGTAGAAATAAAATAAGCTTCATGAAAAATATTGTTTCTAGTTTGTCTCTGGAAGCCCCTGTGGTGTAGCGGCCAGAGACGCCACGCCTGCGGTTCAGGTCTGGAGGGAGCTGGACTTTTTTTTTCAAAAATGACCTTGGCTCCCAAGTCCAGTCCGGGGATGTAAAGGTGGGCAACGTTATGTTTACCAGATCACTTGTGTGTTGACTGGTTCTTACAAATACAGGTCTAGCTCAATTTGCCCAATACAACTGAAGGCATCAAAAAGGTTTTTTTTACTTCATTTTTTCTTTCTCTCAATAAATGAAGCTGTACTGTACACTAATAATATATTTCAAGCAGATTCTTGAATGAGGTTCAGCTGGAATTTGCACTTGCAAAGTAAACTAGCGGTACCCCTAGTATTGCAGCTTCGGCTATCCTCCCAATAACGGTTACATATTATGGCGGCCAAAAACACACCCTAATAGGGCCTCAGTCACATGTAAATTGCGGACTTCCGGCGACTAACGCCACTACCGAGAGTATCTCCCACTCCGCTGCATGCGGCGTGGAGCGGGGCTAAACTAGATGGCTGGGTCTCACGAGCAAATAAAATGAAGGAAGCTGCAGGAGATGCAGTAGCTGCTGCTCGTGAGTCCTAGCCATCTAGTTTAGCCCCGCTCCACGCTGCGCGTAGCAGCGTGGGAGATACTCTCGGCAGTGGCGTTTTTAAGTCACCGGAAGTTCGCAATTTACATGTGATTGAGGCTCTGTTAGGGCGTGTTTTTGGCCGCCATAAAATGTGCCCGTTATTCGGAGGATAGCCGCAGCTTCTAACACTTCTTTTGGTTAGTTTACTTGGGTGGAGGAGAGAAAGGGATCTCTCTGTGGTTAAGTCGTTTATAAGATCGTTGCCAGCGCTACAGAGCTCGTGCTTTGTGCAACGCTCTCCGCAGGCAGGTGTCCATTCTAGGCTGGAAGATAGAACCACATAAGATAAACCCCAATGCAACGATCAATCAACTGAATCTTTTCTTCTAATTAATTTCTTCACGGTATTTGCAAGAGTGCCATTTCTTGGCTCTCCTCCGAACTTCTACCCCCGCATTATGGTGGCCTGAAATATCCGTTCGGGGCTCAGTCCAATGAAAAATGCGGACTTTCTGCCAAGCAACAAATCGCGGCAAAACTAGGATTACTTGACAATTTCAAGAGACGCAACATTGCAGACGATAGTAGCAGATGATAAAAGCGACCGGTGACAATGTCGAGACATTACAGACAATGAAAGCGATATGGCGGGTAGACCACGCGCTCCCACGCAGATTAGCAATACTGTTCTTCTGATTGAGGATTTAGCAGCGGTAGATGTCAGACTTGTGGGCATGCACAAAACGCGATTTAACTCACCGCCAAGCGTATCCCTGCGCTGCTATGCGCGGCACGGATGGGGGGCTTAATTAGGTGCCTGGGACTAACGAGCAAAGTAATTGGAGGAATTTGCAGGAGATGCAGTAGCTGCTGCTCGTGAGTCCCAGCCATCTAGTTTAGCCCCTATCCGCGCCTCGCGTACCAGTGCGGGGGATACGGTGGGCGATGAGGCATAGTCACAGAAACAGGTCCGCAAGTAACATATCGCTGAGACCCTGTTAAAGCATTTGTTTTGTTTTTACGAGCCGATCCTATATTTGCCACGATTTGTTCCTCGGCAGAAAGTCCGACAATGGAAAGCGTCAACGGTCGCTATTAACGATCGTCTGCAGTGTTGCTTCTCTTATAATTGTCAGGTAATCAGAAACAATAAGAAACAGGTCCCCAAGTAACATATGAGACCCTGTTAGAGCATTTGTTTCGTTATACGGAGCCGGCATATTTTTAACAGAACTGAGCCCCGAACCGATATTTCAGGACGCCATAATGCGGGGGTAGAAGTTCGCAGTTCGGAGGAGAGCCCATTTTCACGGTAAGAGTAGTAAGACTTCTTGGCTCTCCTGTCAAATCCGGACGAAGAATAAAAAGCCTTGGACGACTTAGTCAGAGTTCTCTCCCTTGGCCGCACTGCAAACAGTGATCGGAAAAGCCAACGTAACAAACGACACACTTACCTATCATCATACGGTTGCGTGTAGGGCTGCGTACGGTTGGGTGAGGCATCGTGAAGGGATGCGTAGTCATCATACGGTTGCGTGTAGGGATGCGTAGTGTTAGGGTTTGAGTTAGGGGTAGGGTTAGAGTTAGGGGTAGGGTTAGAGTTAGGGGTAGGGTTAGAGTTAGGGGTAGGGTTAGGGTTTAGAGTTAGGGGGGTTAGGGTTAGGGTTAGGGGTAGGGTTAGGGTTTAGAGTTAGGGGTAGGGTTAGGGTTAGGGGTAGGGTTAGAGTTAGAGTTAGGGGTAGGGTTAGGGTTGGGGTTAAGGTTAGGGGTAGGGTTAGGGTTAGATGTGAAAATTTTGACGTAGGATTTCGAAATACTGGCCGACAATCTGATGTTCGTGGGAGTGGCGCCACTGAAACTCTGCCAAATATGACGCCAATAGCGTGCGGCTGGTGCCCCCAATCGTTGGCGAAATGTGCGTTTGACCAGCATCCAGAGGCCCTAGATTGTTTGTGTGTGTATGGGACTGTGCGCGATTATAGGGAACTCCGGCGTCAAAATTGTCAAATCTAACGCTACACCTAACCCTACCGCTAACCCTAATCCTACTCCCTAACCCTAACCCCTACCCCTAACCACGCAAATTTATCGATCATTAAAGCATACAAATCGGCAAACACCAACAAACAAAACACACCCAAAAAAAACCAGAATTGTCCTGCAGCGTCGAAAAAATATCCAGATATGGGGGAAACAACCAAGCATTGGCAGCCCTGATGTCGACGTGACTGTCTTCTTTGTTTCGTTGGCTTTTCCGATCACTGTTTGCAGTGCGGCCAAGGGAGAGAACTCTGACTAAGTCGTCCAAGGCTTTTTAGTCTTCGTCCGGATTTGACAGGAGTACCGACTTCTTTTACCTGCCAACAACACGAACTGACTTCCCGTCCAGCTGTTCGCCTGCTAGAATGATTTCACAAATCATCATTGGAATCCCGTGCGGAGGCAGGGATATGTGGAAGTTGGAGGTGGACGTCATATTTTCTGTTTAAGTCCCGATACTGTTGTTATTTTCGTGAGGACTGTTTGATTTTCAGCGCCCTTATAAGCAAGCCATTTTGTAACATCACGTGACTATATTACAAAACCTGGATCAATTAATGAACAGAATTTTTCGTTCGTTTAGAAGACCAGCATCATTGGCATAAACCACAGGGAAACGAACCACTGCACATCGGCGACCCTTTGGCTCACCGGTCGACGACTTCGTCGCCAGTTGGGACAGTGTTTGGGTCTGTCTCCTTTGATAGTATCAACACTGCAAGTCCTTTTTATGGCTCTTGATGGCGTGCAATGCTAAGTTTAGCGGAGCGAATTAGTAGTACATTTTACCCCACTAGGACATCACACAAGCGATAAACACCCGATGACACAAAGTGCCACCATGTGGATAAGAGTCACCCATGGAGAGGTCTCGAAAGCCGCGTTCTGATAGACCATATTTATGACTGGGCTGGCTATATTGCGACCCTTGACAAGAGCCAGGGTGGGGCTGTAAAATAATAACAACAACAACAAAAAATTGCATCCCATCAGGGGATGACTACTTTATTCAGTTTAGCGAACATAACCTAGTCCAATTATAACATAAAGCTGGCCCTTCGGGGACGTGACGAGTTTTAATTTTTTTTTCTCCAGCAAAGCACCTACCTAACTACGAACCCATGTGTTGTATGGTTCCTTGCCCGGTCCGAACTTCAGGTTTATTCGTAGCCGTCGCGCGTCCCAATATAACCTCGTGGTTGAAAGAAGCTTACCTGGATTGGTAAAAGTATGATTCTCGTCCGTAAGGTGTTCGTCCCGAGGACTAAAATCCTGGAGGGAACAAACTATAATCGACCTGCCAAGTGCGCCCCCTTACTCGTAGTTTTTAAAAGGAGTACACAATTATAGGGAAGAGAAAAGGTTGGTAAGAAACAACAAATAGTTTATGTTAGCTTTACAAAATCGATCACAATAAACAAACAAAGGACGTTTCGGCGGTTAGCCTTCATCGGCACATAAAGAACAACACAGTACACATGCACAAATATGCTCTAACTATGAAATGACTACATAGGACTCTAATGTATAAAATAAATGATACTCATCTATGTCCCTGGCGAAAAAACTTCGTACAATGAAATGACGTCAGCCTATATATCTCCAACGCGCGGGTGGGAGCGAAAAAAGGGGCGGGTTAGAAGCAAACAGCGTACACTGAGTGTCTAAGGAGGGAGGGAGGGGTTGGCCTATAGGCCGTAACTGGGGTTGGGTTGTGGGGATGACATTAGTCCATCCGTATGTAATAAAAGTGGTGCCTGTGCTTGCAAACAAATATCAGCAGACAGACAGACAAATAGACGTAATGATGGCTATACTCGTGGATGGATGGATCGGCTGATAGATGAAATCAGGTAAAGACAAGGGTCTCAAGGCACGATGCTTCTCACTTACTGTCAGCTATGAAATAGAGACAGTAAGGGTGATTGTTATACAAAGTATCAGTCGAAACTAGCGCAGAACTGGTTAAAAAACAGAATGTAAGGGAGCCATGGAAAAAGAGCTAGGGTGGATGGTGAGGTGAGTGGGCGAGTAGGTGGTGAGATAGATGGGTGGGTAGATGAGTGGATGGGTAAAGGATAGCTATATTGGTGGATGAATGGAATTGCTAATATATAGAATCGGCTGCAGGTGACCCTGGCTGGTGATGTCATTACGGGTGCCCCTGTTATGATGTATTAGGAGGTTGAACGGGGTATCTCTCTTGTTGGTCTGCAGTCTAGAGTGAGAATTGTGTTTAAATTATCTCACGGTGGTAAAGTAAACGTTTAGCAACAATACGGAGGGGATAAACTGGTTGATCGATCAATCGAACCCTTGATATAAGAATTTCCCCCAGCGGTCATGACTTCATATTGTCATGTAACCGTCGAGGGCCCCAGTGTAACCTTCAGGGGACCACAGTGTATCCGTCATGGGTGAACCTGGGTTGTGGGATTTGTACCTGCTTGATTCTTATCTTTGAGGCCTTAATCCTGCAGACTGATATCCTCAAGATGACAATTTACTTATAAATAGCCCTTAAAACTAGGGAGAGGGGGATCGGACTCTGTTGACCCATTAAGTCAAGCTTTTTGGCCGGAAAGAATAAAAGAATAACTAAAAAACGACAGCGAAATTTATAGGACAGACAAAATTGCTGATATAGAGAACAGGCGAACGGAAGAAGACTTCTGCCATAATCTGTCACCATGTGCCCACGATAGGAGAAACTTGCTACTTGTTCTAACATCTCTTCGTTTACTGTGATATGTGCTGTCTTTTGTATTGTTAATTACCACCCCCCCCCCCCCCCCCCTCCCCCAATGTTAACCTTTTCACAGGGGCGCTGCGAAATATTCGAAGATACACGAGTTTTACTTTTTTTTTAAAAATCTTTTTTAAAATCCGAATAGTGATTCTTTTACATAGGTTAGGGCGCTGTGGGAAAATTTTTAATGAAAAAGGCACCGCGACAAAGAAAAGTTTGGAAAACACTGGTCTTAACAATACCCTGCACGCCACCTGTTGACTTGATCGCTAGGTCTTGTAACTTGTAACTCTTGCTCGCTTTCTGCTGGTAGCTCTGTGTCATCAGCATGTCTCAGTCTGTTTATTGTTCTTCCATTAATATTCAGTCCAGGCAATTCTTCAACTTGTTTTACAATATTTTCTGTATGCAAGTTGAAAAAGCTTGGGGATGACACATTCCTGTCGTATTCCTCTTGTCATCTCTGTAGTGAGACGATATTGTAACCAACTTTTGACTTTTGCTTTTTGTTTCCAGCCCCTGGCTGTTGTGTTGTTTTTCTAGGCAGATTTACGTCCAAAAGTTTGCCATAGCTTCTAGACAGTCGGCTTTCTTGATACGACTGTCGAAACCAAAGCAGGGCGCATGGCCCGCAGCTGGGATCGAATCCGGCATTACGAAGCGTTTCCAGTACAGGTTACTAATAATTCTGATATCTTTTCCATCTAATTGTGTATCCCAGAGGCTGGCTTCTGTTTTTGTTCACTGGTTGACAGTTCTATTTGTTCGTCAATCTGGACTCTGGCTTTGTACCTGGGCCAACGTTGTGCGTGTACATCCGTTTTACTGGCTAATTTGTGTGCAGTTTATTGTTTCTTCCCTTCTTTCTTCGAAAGGAGAGGAGTGGGTCAAAGAGTCTGAGCAAGTTTCAGACTTGTGTAGGGCTCTTATCACATTAGGCCGTGAGTGCAGGGACTGGCCAGCTGGTGCTGCCGAGTTAGAGGATAAACAAATGAATCATTCCGATTTGCGCCTGGGGGATGTGATTATCTACACAGATGGCTCTGTACTGAGAAGCAGACGAAGTGCATGGGTGTTCACAGCAAAAGCAAATGGACGTAGCTTAGTGCAACAAAGTATAGCATATGATATCACAACGTCTAGTATGAGAATGGAGGTGGAGGCATGAGAAAGGTGGGGACAGGCATACTCCGTGCAGAGTGGCAAGCATCACTTCATAGGTCCTAGGTAGTTAGCATCCTTTGGTTATTTTCTCCACGGCATGCCAGCGTGTTAAAAAAAAAAAAAAAAGAACATGCATGTAGACTGGCTGGTTTTGCACCACTTGGTATGTCAAACTAGACGTTGTGAGGTTCCTTTGGGAGCGAGTGAACAGTGCAGAGGCACAAATGGATAATTATGGTCTGAGGAGAATGGTGGTGAGGGGAGTTAACAGGGGATCTGGCCGTTGCTCAACACTCAAGGAAAGGGCACGATGAATATACAAACAGTTACCGGTGCCATCGGAATCGGAACTCTACTACATTTGCTGCTGAAGATTGGGACAGAGCGCTTATGGGGTGCTCCATGTGCTATCATGTCAATTCTCGATTCAACGTCCCCAATTATTATGAAAAGTAATGGCAAGATATGGAGTAAGCGAACACCTCATCAAAGTGTGCAAAAGTTTATACAGGGATTGTAGAAGTGTAGTTAGAATAAATCAGGGAACATCTCATCCATTCACAGTAACATCGGGAGTAAGACAGGGGTGTGTCTTATCACCACTGCTGTTTATCACCTACATCGACTGTATTTGCAAGAATGCCAAGCCCATGAATGAAAATGTTAGTAAGATCAACGAATTACTCTTTGCAGATGACCAGGCCTTGATAGCAGATACAGCCATGAAATTGCAACATCTAACATCCATGAATGAAGAATGTAAAACAAATAATTTGAGAATCAACACTGAAAAGACAGAAGTAATGTCAATAGAAAAAAAGAAGACAGATCTAAACATAGCAATAGAGTGCAAAGGCATTAAACAGGCATCGGAGTTTAAATGTCTGGGAACTACATTTACCGAAGATGGGAAATTGGATAAAGAAATTAACATTAGATGTTGGATAAAGAAATTAACATTAGATGCAATAAAGCAAACCAAGTATTGGGACAGCTAGCCCCCCTCTTACAGCATAAGACAATCCCAATCAGCACAAAGAGACATCTTATTCAAAGCATATTTATTCCAACTCTGTGCTACCAGTGCCAGACATGGTCACTCACAACAAACCATTAAAAAAAAATTTGTAACCATGGAAATGAGATGTCTGAGAAGGGCTGTAGGAGTGACCATAAGAGATAAGATCAGGAATAAAATCATAGGAGAAAAAGTCGGCACAGAACCAATTCTAAATTACATACGAAGACAGCAAGTGAAATGGTTTGCCCACATAGAGAGAATGCCTTGTGACACCATACCATACAAAGCATACATGGAAAGGGAAGAAGGACATAGAGCACGAGGTAGACCAAGAACAAGATGGAAGGATAACATCAGAGAAACTCTACAACAGCACGATGTGCCTATGGTCAAGGCGGCCAGAAGAACTAGAAACAGAACCTTATATCTCCCTCGACACCCACAGCGG